GATGGCATAAGTGCGTTTCGTTTATTTGCGGCTCCAGGTTCATCTCTCCACAGACCCCAACAAGAGTCAGCCATCATGTCCCAGTAACCTTGATATCTCCCTTCCATTGGCCTAATGGAACCTTTCTCCTTGTTGCACACTATAATCCCAACTGTCAGGAAAATAATTTAGATGTGAACTCAGAAAATGCAATTTTATGGACATGATAACTTCCATGTTCTTGAAGCTGATCAGGAGACTTCGAATGATAGCTTCATACTCGGGACTGCGTTCTTTTCCAAGAAATTGTTTTTTTCAGTAATAGTGAAATCAAGCTGAACTTTCTGTCCTATTTCATTCATAGTCTTTTCAAACTTGGGATCATTAATTAATCTAATTTGGGGGCTATCAAAAATAGCTGTATTCAATTTTGCCTCCCTGATGTGCGGAAATGGCTTCATTATATAAATAAAAGCTGTATTCTGTTGATTCATTGCTTTAATAAAATATTTCATTAGCCTTAGTTTTATGTGGAGAGGTAATAGTTTTTGTGAGTCAATCAATGGGTCAGCAATAACATTGTTTCTACCAGGTGTGAAACTTTTTCTATATGGCCATTCATGTTGTGTAAAGTGTTTGGGAGTCTGCCTAGCTATCCCACAAAGAAAGCAGGGATGATTAGTGTAAACTCCTTGCATTCCCAATAGTAGCGAGATAAAGTGTAAAAATAAAAAATAAAATGTTAAGTATATTACTGTTTCAACAAATTTTTTTATCATCAGGCATTTGTACTATAAAATTTTTGCATTTTTTGCATATTCTATTCAGGTTCATTGATGAAGTTTTTTCTTTAACATATACTATAAAACTCTACCAATTAAAACAATTTGTCTGGGGAAGAAAATAAATAAAAAAAATTCTTATTAGCATTAATATCTTACAAATACTACAAATATCAAAAATATATATTAACTTGTAGAGAAAAAACTGGAACTGATACGGAAATACCGATTGCAGATTTGAAATCGATACAAAAACAAATAAAACAACAGAAATAAAAAATGACTCTTACCAGTCTTATACTTTGATGAACTTTCATATGACGTTAATATAAGTTTTGTGTACATCTTATCCAAGTATTTAGAATAGATTTACATTTTTTTAAATAAGAAATGTTCACATGAAGCTGAAATTAAATTAATAAAAAGAATACTCATGTATTTCTACACTAACATTGAATCAATCTGCCAACTTTGAATATGGGATACAAAGAAATAAATTTTTTTTAAAAAATGTTACTGGAGCATGAAGGCCACTGTCTGTTTGCACCATGGGGCTTCAATGATGCAATGTCCAAACGTAAAGCCTATGGGAGATGTATGACGTATGATTTGCAGAACCATACCCATGGTCACAAATGGAGGGATTGTGACGACTCTACTTGTTGTTTTATTAATAAACTACTGGTATTGCTAAAGTCTCCCTGAAAGATGGAGCAGCCTTCTTTCTCAGATATAATGAGAGAATAATGAAAAAACATAAGTATTCCTGAAGCATACAGGTCAATCCACTTTAAGTTGTCCAGTGATATTTAATAAATTGGTTGCTTGATCTAGAAAAATATCCATATTTTGTTCATAAATTTCCTTGTTTTGGCTTTTTGAAATCATTAATTTATTTTTATTCTATCTGGTTTATAAACGGCAGCCATTTTTGTTTTACTCCATTCGCCATTTTTTTCGTTTTTAAAAAAATTTTATTTTCAAAATTATTCAGCCCTGGGTTGTTTTAGCACTCTAGAATAAAACACATTGAATTCAGTATTCTCTAGCCTACAAATCGAAATATTATTTACATACCTTCCATGTTTTTATTTAAGAAATATTTTCAACCAATTGTATGGAATGCAAATCAACCAAGTTTGATTTTCACAGAATCATTTTGTCAAAAAAGGGAATAGAATCTTAGCCTTAATTTTTTCGGTACTTTTACACACAACAGTACAATGACTTTTTGTAAAATTTAATTGGTAAGTAACGTACACCTTAAAAATTACATCCACTTAAAAATTTGAATTTTGGATTTTTTACAAATTTTCAACTGTAATATCTTCGTTGGGGGACCAGATAAAAATATGAAAATGCACACAATATAGATTGCTATGACAACAATCTTCTGTAAAAATTAGACTTTTAGATTTAAAATTTTTTTTAAAAAAAGAAAGCATTTTTAAAAAATTGATTACTTTTGGAAAAAAAAAGGTTTTATTTCCACATTGAGAATACGTTGTAACAAACAGTTACCATATTATTTTGAACCTATTCTAAAATAAAATATTTTGATTTAAAATAATTAATTTTACTTTATTATTTATAAACATAAAAGTTGCTTAATATGTAATTTTGAATATTACTTTACTTTAAACAGATTTACATCTATGTTCTATAATAAAAAATATGGTAATTTTGATTATGACTACTATAAAAATAGTTTATAAACGCTAACAAAAAATACATTTAGAGGTTTGTTTATTTTTTCGCGTTTAACCCTTGAGTGGTCGCGTGGTTGACATATGTCACCCACTTCCTTTATTTTTCTCAGAACTCCCTCCCTCCCCCGAA